GAAAAATGAAATGCCTTAATTAGTATTTTAACGCTATTATTATTGACATTTCCTTAAACAAATCATGTTGCACCAAAATTGACAGCTTATAACCATATCCACTTTACACATTTTACACCCAATCGTAAACATTTATGGTAATTGCAAACAGGAATAAGAACATTGCTTCATGCCACTGATATTTCAATTGGTAACTGTTTATGTCAACTATTTATTGAAATGATTTTTCAATTAACTAAACAACTTAAAACTATTTAAAATCTCCTTAAAAATTAATTACATTCAGAGATTGATGGTTGTTAGCGTATATGTGTGTATATGTATGTGTAGTAGAAACTAGTTCAAGCATTGATTGATTTATTGTAATTTTTCCATTAGATGACAAGTTAAATTGAAAATTATCCATATGCAATTTTGACAAATAAATATTATAACGTGTATTTATCATGCGGATCGATTGACCAAACGGCTTTACTTTAAGCTCCATTTAGGTAATTTTTTGCTGTAGTATTTGTGTTGTATTTTTTTTTTCTCAACTTTTTGTTGTAGTATTATTTATTTCTTTTTTTTTTGTTTGTTTAAATAATCCTGCTGTTACAATGCCACTAAACATATTAGTCGAATTGTGACAACATAAATAAATAAAATGCAATAAAAAACACAAAACTGACTAAAAATGCATTTGCTAAAATACATCACAATGACAAACACCTGCTGAGTCAAAATATATGGAAAAATAATGCACATTATACATTTTTTGATGTGAGACCATATGAAGAACGAATAATATGTTCAGTCAGATAGACGTCCAGCCGGCCATTCAGCAATTTAGCCACTTAGCCAGGCCAAGAGACCTCAGTGCGATATTTATTGAGAAAATTATTTAATGCAGTTAACAAAAAGCATGTTACAAGTTGATTTTTTAATGGTATTATACGACAGGTTAGATCTCCTATATTTTAATTTAATTGCTACATTTTATACTAACTACTAGTTGGTAGTGTTCTAGTCTATAAATATGGTGGTTGTTGGTTCGAATGCTAACAGAGACTCTGGTAAAGAAACTAACAACAGATCCGATATATGTATAGTAATATTTAAATAATTCATTCTCATGTTTTACTTAATTCAAAAATCCATATAATTCCCATTTAGTTAAGATTAGTTTTGCAATAAGTAGTTGAGTTTACATACCCCAGAAGTTCGGTCAGACAGTCCCGAACTACATATTTAACCTACCACTTAGGGTTACCCCTAGACACCGACTGTCCAGGTGACTAGGTATTTTAACATGTGCTTGTCCTACGATGAAGTCAATCGTCACCCCATAGATTACGAAAAGACAAACAGGTTAGACGTTAGTGGAAATCACTGTCTTTTTCGGATGTATTGACTCTTTGTCGAAGTGTAGGGACGGTATCATCATATTCAATACATTTGTGTGTTTTAGTGTTAATGCGTATGTATTTTAGTGATTTAACTAAGTATTGATTTGAGTACGGATTACTCAATTCTTTTTTTGAGTATACACAGAGAGAAAAAGAAATATACCTACACGCCTGGTACCAAATTGACACCAAACTGTTCATAATTTTTCAATAACATCCGTTGTCAAAGTATATACAAACGTACGACAACACTATGTAATGTTGACAGCATTCCAACGATTCGTTGTCGAAATCTAAATTTTATACACATCCGTTGTCTAAATGTTAACAAACGTGGTAAGCTCACTATTGACAAACAATCCGTTGCCAATGGTGAGCTTACCATAGTGTTTCCCTACGTATATACTTTGACAACGGATGTTATTGGAAAATTATAAACTCTTTGGCGTTAATTTGGTACCAGGCGTGTATATTTCTTTTTCCCTCTGTGTACGTACTTTTCTACTACTTTTCTGAAATGTCGTCGAAGTGCTTTACGTGAACATTTACCTTGAAGTCCTAATCACATGACTCATTGCCGCCCATTTATGTATTTTATAGGCCGGTAGCTATTTTTGTATATGGTTTTGTCGGTCCATCCGCAAGCGCTTTGCTTAAATTCTCGATCTATCTAATCTCGGATCAATGCTGCCCCGTTGGTTAACTTCCGAGATCCAAAAATATCACTTCCGTTTACAACCACACAGATGCGATAGCATATGTTGATTCGGCAACAGTAACTAGAGCCGTAATCAGTAGACCGAAACGTGAATCCATCAAATAAGGCGAGGACTTGTTCTTACTCACAGAGAAAGCACTGTGATAAATCCGGTATGAACAGAGTAAACCCTGAAACATACCCGGACTAGGAAAGAAAATTCAATGGTATCACTTGTATAAGATACGTGCCCCCCGAGGGTAGCTCTTTAATAACCGGGACAAGACAAAGACCTGTGGTGTAATGGTTCCCGTGGTAACAGCATGTATGGTTCTCTGGTTCGACCCCATTTCACATTATTCCAAATAAAGGGCGAGGATACATTTCATCATCACTAGTTTATAGTCCCGACAGGCTAGAGGTACTCGTAGCTCCTCTCTCCCCCGGTATTGCAATAACACCAAGATGAGGGTCTTTCATCAAGGTAACATGGCCCTGGAGAGACTACTTTTCTAAAGGGTAAAAAATTTTAATTTGTAATCCATTTTTCTGAAAGATCGACGAAGAGTTGCTGTCCTAGGAAATGAATTGGATGCCTCCAAGAGTAGGACACTGATAAAGAAGATAGTCAATTGATTGCTCTTCACCCTGTTAACTACTTCTGCAGAAGGCATTATAGGGTAAACCAAATCTTCTTGTATGGTTGCCAAAATTATTGTTCCCGGTAATGACAGCAATCATGTTACTGTGCTAGATCTACTCAATTTCGGAAGTTATGCTGAGCTTTTTAACTTTCTTCCTTATGATATGGGTTCGTTTCGTACTCCACCCTGTCTGAGAAAATTGATAGAAATACAGAAGAAGTAATATACATACGTCAGTATCGGACAATCCCCGTACATCTGTCGGGAATTTGATTACAGCTTGACTGTGGATGAACATTTGAAAACCTCTATTCTTTATTCTGTAATACTTGAGCTAATTTGCTGCTTTTCATATAGCTGTTTTTTAACATATTGTTCACTAAAGTAAATTTGATTCCTAAATGTTATTCCCGAATGGATGGAGATTTGAGCTCCATATACATGGAAAGACTTTGTGAGAACTATTTTGCTCTAGTCTCTAGTTTTCGGAGATAGTTAAATCGATGTTTAGAGGGTTGAAGTATTTGGGAGTCAATTCTCGATATTAGAGAATTAATAAACTCGTTTATCCTTAAGGTTTATGTGGCCTATGTATTGGGTCTGAATTCTGTGATTAATGCTTAATAGCTAATAAGTGTGCTAGAATCCAAAAATAGAGAATGGTCGATGTTGTGTCTAAGCTTTCTAAGTTTATGTGTAGTGCTTTCCTCACAACAGTGACTATATTCGTTGCCCTATCCGAAATATTGTGTTTCCAGGATACTTCGCACTGTCAACCCTATTTAATAGGGGCAGCAGGCATGGGGGGATAATGTCTACATTTTGAAGATTCACCAATTACAATTACTTGTAATTGTAATTGAAGTTTATCCAATTACAATTATTTGTACTTGAAGTTTTGCCAATTACAATTACTTGTAATTGTAATAGAAGTTTTGCCAATTACAATTACTTCTAATTGTAATTGAAGAATTTCCAGTTACAATTACTTGTAATTGTAAATTTTGTTCCTTATAATTACATGTAATTTTGTAATTTGTAATACCTAAATTACAATTACAAGTAATTTTAATTGGAAACTTCAATTGCAATTACAAGTAATTGTAATTGGTAAAACTTCAATTACAATTACAAGTAATTGTAATTGGTTATTGGTCAATTACACATAAAAGTAATTGTAATTGGAAAAACTTCAATTACAATTATAAATAAACAATTACAAATAATTGTAATTGGTTATTTCTCAATTACACATTACAAGTAATTGTAATTGACCATATAGTGAATTACTTTGTGTAATCATTACCCCCCATGCCTGAGGGGCAGTGAGAAGCTATAAATTTTCCTCAGAAAAATACAATCTCATTTTTTTCGGATTTAGAGCCAGTCCACTCTCGACCCTTCAGTCTACTCATTATTTCAAGTACTTCTTCTATTCTTTGTGATACCGTTGCAGATTTAAACATTATACTGCTACAGCTACGACTTCTGCATAAGAAACGTGTTGTATTGCTGGGAATCCAATGTCCAAAACAAATCTTTTATTTCTGTCTTATTAACACTTTTCAGGAAGTAATTTGATTTAGTTGTTTAATTTTTACAAAAAGCAAAGTGTAAATGTTGTTTCAAATCGATTTGATGGTTCTCAGCTCGCGATTTAATAAAATGTAGGGTGCCACGAGTCTACTTTAATGTAAAACAATATTTAAAAACAGAGCAAAAATAACAATTGCTCACTATCAAGTTAATAAAGTTATGAATCAACTGTAAATGATGAATATTTAAGCTTTTAGACAACAACAGCAACAAAAACAAAACGCTGCATAAATTGTGTAAAACAAAAACAACTATAAGTAGAAATGCAGTACCGCCAAGAGGAGAAGAAGTAGAAAGAAGAAAATGTACTATTGTGCTAATGTGTCTTACACAGCTCCAGCTCTAAGGGGGGTTTGGCTTTTTATGTCCAGACCTCATGTGGGCTTAATACTCGTATATAAAGTATTGCGTTTTTTTTTGTACGTTTTTGTTGCTGTTGCGTTAATGGGTTGCACAAAAAACCAACAGGCCATAAATACTCGCAAATGCAAACATTTAACTCTTATTTTCACTGTTAACAAAGTTAACAATAATTTTGTTTTGTTTTTCACTCATCTCGTTTTTTTCAACTCTTACTCTGTTTACGCGTTACTTATTTCTGACTTATTTTAATATTTTCTTATTGTCTTTTTTTTCCTTTCTTTCACCCTCTCTATCTCTGTGTTCCGCGCGCAG